TTGCTGGTCCAAATCAGCCATATCTTAAATGGTGTTATTCAACACACGACTTGATTTATTGTTGCAATTTTTAAGGTTTTTTCGAAAACTCCGACCGAAAAGCGGTGGAAAATCCGTTCGGTAAGCGAACGCTCTGATCCTGTTATACGTTTCATTTCATATGTAGGTCGAGCGATACGAAAGCGAGATTTTACCGGAATCGGTTTGGAGGAAATGGCCATGGATTATTGGTGGGCTTTTTACGAGTCATACCAATGTAAGTGATTCAGTTGTCTTAGCTGATTATTACGACATATTATTCGCTTAGAGATGATCCATATATGGTGAGAGCAGCTCCGCTGCGGAATTTTTTTCGTAGCACCATACAAGCCATTTTCGTTCGGAAACTTCTTTTGCAAGGCTTTCTCAGTGAACCTTTTCCACGGTTGTCGCGAGCACAGAGTCTTTCTCCCAGATTCGACTCCTCGTGGTCGCTGGATATGCTGCTTTTTCAACAGTCGCCGTAATCTCCTATCCAGGGCGCCCCCTGCCGTGGTATTGGCTTTATTGAGGTATTTATCGACATCCCACATCCCTCCACCTTCCCCTCGAGTCGCTTGCCTTGTTCTTCAAAATTCGGTGCGGATGTTCTTCGAGCCTTCTTAGCACGCATGCTGATATCAGCGCAGTCGCTACTTTCATGATTTCAGCTGGATCTTAGCTGTGTGTGACCACTCCGACTTCTACGTTTCTGGCTCTGCCTAGTCGTGTCCAGGCCATCTCAACATCATAATTTCAGCCGACTGGAGCTGTTTTTCGTGCTTCTTATAAACTAGCCAACACTCGCTTCCGTAGAGCATCGCCTCACAACGCAGCAACGCAATATCGGTCATCGAAGCCCCATTCATTAGGTTGTTCCAAAACTGCGTGACATTTTGTGAATATCTATCTGATTTCTTCACGGCTATTTGAAGATTTACTTGTGGTCTACGAAAAGTGTTTCAAGTAACCAACCCACAATCGCTCGCTGTCCTCATATCAGAAAGATAGGACCCATCATTTTCTTCACTTTTCACTACATGAACCCCATCCAACTCCAAGTGGCTGCACGCGGCATTCGCCCCCAGCTAGGGCCTGATCCTGCCTTCCATAATACGGCGTTGAAATAGCTTGGTCGCTTCGCTTGAAGGCGTGGCACGATAAATTTCCGAAACGTGTAGGTTAACTACGCCTAGCCACAATTTTACGCTCCAAATCAGGCGCTGTGAGTCGTCTTTTTTGGAACTATAAGGGAAGGTACCCTTATAGCGCCCGATGAAGCTGCAAAGCTGCCGACGCGGAACTCCACCGCGCCCAACCGCCCACAAACGTCCAACGGCTGGTGCTCGTATCGCTTCATTTTCGAAGTATAGGTTGGAAGGAAAGTCCTGTCACTGTTGTGATTTTTTCTTTTTTATTTTCTAACTCAACATGAAATAAAAACTAATCAATAATATAATCGCCATTGTTAGCCACTACAGTGCTCCACCTAATGGGCAAGTCAGCTATCCCCTTCTCCCAGAACTGAGGAGGCTGCGAGTCGAAGAAGTAGGCAACTTCTCGACTGATGTCCATCAAATTCGCTGAAGGTTTTCTTACCTAAGAAAGCCTTGAGGGAGCGGAACAGGTAATAGTCGGAGGTGCTAGGACTGGAAACACGGTGGATGTGGTATGATCTCTCCTCAATTTGTCGGTGGGTCTCTTTAGCCACGTGTGCTCTAGCGTTATCACCGAGGAAGTGCACCGAAGTTCGTCTCGAAGAGCTTGCGGAGCTTCTGGACTTGTGCGGTGTAAACGGTAGCGGTGACCGTTTGCCCTTGCGGAAGCAGCTCGTGGTGCAGCATGCCCTTCGAATCCCAGAAGCAGCAGAGGAGGACCTTCTTGGAGTGCAGGTCCGATTTGGCTTGCGTGGGCGGGTCTTCTCCTCGAGGTAGCCACATGGCACGGCGTAGGTTAGAATCATAGAGCACCCAACTCTCATCTCCAGTCACAATATCTTCCAGAAACTCCTTCCGGTTACGGTGTAGAAGGAGGGATCGACAGATGCTCACCCTGGCATACCGCGTGCCATCTGTTAGATCCATCGCGTGAGGCCTTTTCTGTAGCCAAACGCCTGAAGGCGGCCTGCTGAATGGTTACACGCGAGTCTTGTCGCAATACTGCGGTGGTAGCCTCCGGATCCTCTCTGACAGATTCGAGAACGGCGGAGTCCTCCACGCCGTGAGGGCGTCCCGACCGAGGTTTGTCTTCGAAGATCGTCTCTCCTTTCGCGAAGCGAGCGAACCAACGGTGGACAGTCCTGACGGTAGTGGTGTCCTCCTCCAATGCAATGTTGATGTCACTGACAGCTGCCGTCACTCATAGAAGATGATCACTCTAAGCTGCTCTAGTGAAACTGACATCGTAAATAAACACAGGGAAGAGCAGGAGCCTTGATATACCTCTTGTGGAAAAGCTTCGAGAATGTTCTACAACCTAGCATGTTAAATCATGTTCGGACATCGATAATCAAAAACTGTGAGCTATCCGAATCGGCGGCGTTGTTGCGTTGATAAGAATACATGAATGCAGCCTTATCAACTTAGAGGTTATTGGCACGATGCCAATGGGGAGCTCCAAATTTACTTTCTGAATCGTGTAGAACGAAGATAGACATTGACTTCGTTCTCCGCCATTTCTCCTTGAATAGCACTCGTTCAGCATTATAGGCCGAGTATCAACAGGAAGCTAATCTTTACCAGTACCTGCCAGTACCAGACCATATGCCTTGGATTTACAACTACTGCGTTCCCTGATTGATAACAATTTGTACGACGTATCTGGTCCTTTCGCCTGACTGTTATAAAAGCACAAGTGACACAGGTCCTCGCTCCCTTGAGAAAGTATTGGAGTTAAATCAGAAGTTCCCTCATGAGCTGATCGATATGCAAGGGAAAGGCATGTGGGTACTGTC